TTTTTTGGCCGAGAGAGGAAACCCGAACGAGGCTTTGCCGAAGGGCAAAATTTCGTCCGGGGAGGTAGACAGGCCCTGAACCCGTTTATACAGGTTCTAAGGGAATATTTTTGTCCGAGCCTACTAGCAAGGAGAACCAACGGTAAACTCGGCCTTGTGCCCATACATCCCTCGTGAGGGTGGGGGCTGTTAACTATTAACAGTCGAATAGATTGTTCATCTGCCTAACTCTTTACCTTTGCCGGAGGGTAAAGTTTCGTCCGGCGAGGTCAACAGGCCCTGGACCCGTTTATACGGGTTCAAAGGGAATATTTTGGGCCGAGCCTACGGGCTCGGAGAAGCCACGGTAAACTAGGCCTTGTGCCACGTACACCCCTCGTGGGGCGGGTGTGGCTGTTAAATATTAAAAGTGAATAGATTGAGCGCTAGTTCATTCGATACACTTTCACAAGTCGTGTAATACTCTTCTGGTGTACTTACTGTTTAATATACGATATATCTGCAAACTTGATTTTTGTTATTAGTTAACCATTTACTTGGTCACAACAGATACGAAACATATTTTGGTATCATGTTTTTCTTCTGGGTTCACTTTATATTCACTCTCAATCGACCGGACTGTATACTGAAATAGTTAAATCACAAAATCAGTCCCCCTAGCCATGTTGGTATAATAGAAAATGAAAATAGCAAAGAAAATAGCTAAAAAATGTCATCAACATGACAACCAAAAATTTTTTTTATCCTATGGAGATTTCAGAAACAAAAGAACGCGGTGAAAAGAATAAAAAGGAAAGCATCTATAAGTTAACCATTCCACCATAAAATGAGTCAGATGCTGTGCATTTAGAAATTCTTGACAAAATCCAAATAAGAATCTGCAATATTATCAGTCCTTGTTGGAATTTTTTGGTACTAGTAAGCCAGCCAATATGAGCTCAGTTTATAGTTCACCAATAGAAGGGTTAACCAATCAGAAAGCTCAAAATATTCAATGCGACGTGTATAAAGGCAGCCATGTTTTTTCCCGAATATTCACTGCCAGCCTTTGATATCGAAGCCTGAAAAATTACGGAACAGCTGCTGGTGGTATTGGCGATAGAGTCAGATTCAGTAAAATATCTGACTCGAGAGTATTAATCTTTAACGTTGTTTCATTGAACAGATTACGGACTGTGCTGTATTCTATATTCATAGACTATGGTGAACATGGTTAACAGCCCTAAGCTGGCACATAGGCTTCAGTCATTTCCCCAACGCCATCACGTAGCTTCCCTGTAACTTTTACTATACATATTTTTATAGTAATTGTTCCGGAGAACTTTCCTCTTTGTAATATATTATAAATATTCATTAGGTTTAATTAACATTTGTTAGTTTTATTCCCCACCAACATAGATAAATTCTATATATGTGAACTAGTTAGGACTTTATAGAGACTGTGAGGTATTATGGTGGCTGCAGTAAGGAATACTGCGTTATGGGGTAATGGATGGTTGCTCGGATTGAGGAATCACAGAGCCGAGTTCGAATTCCATTTATTGGCTAAGAATCTTGTGTATACCTATTCCATTTCATAAACTCTTATAAATTTACCTTAAAAATTGTGTTTGATTAAGGATATATATATATATATATATATATATATATATATATATATATATATTATAATTGTTTTTTAAAAGATATATAATCATCGCAACACCGAAATTCACATGTTTCAAAACTGAAATCTCGATTTAAATTCAATCATATAAATTAAATTTAAAATTTCCGTTCCATTTTCAAAAGAACTCTGAATAATTATAAACCTCATTGTTCTTCCCTATTATATATATATATATATATATATATATGTATGTATAGTGCTGCGCAAAATTATGTGAACCACTGAGGTAATATTTTAAAAGTTTTCCAGATAATAAGCAAATGTTAATTAAACAATATTCAGTAAAACTACAACGAGTTTAAAAAAGAATTTTTTATTTGGAATAACAGTATTAATTAAAAATTTAAAATTAACAAGTGAACCCTTATCTTTAATATTTGGTCACTCCCCATTTTGATGTCACGACATTGAACTGCCTTTTTCCATCATTTTCCTGACAGTAGTGAGCGTCAATCTTTGACGGCTCATTTTGGTAAAACTCACACAACTACTCGATGTTACCGGGTTTCTTGCATATATTTCTTTCTTTAACTTGAATTTTTCAATTGGGTTTAAATCAGGAATTTGGTTAGACCATTCCAAGACCTAAAATTTCTTTTTTTCGAATTCTTTCTTTTGTGGATTTGTTTTGATGCTTCGGATCATTGTCCTGTTGGAAGATCCAGGCCCGACATAAACCCAGCTTTTGAACTGAGGACAAGACACTTGCGTTGAAAATCGCTTGGTATCTTGCAGGGTCCATTGTGCCGTCAATGCGTACAGTTTTGCCTGTTCCAGCTGCAGCAAAGCACACTGAAATGATAATACTACCACCGCCATGTTTAACTGTTGGCACCAAATTCTTCTCCTCAGATATATCACTATCATCCCTCTCCAGAATACCTAGTTTGGTCTCATTCGATCATAAAACATTTTGTCAGAACGATTCTAGTTTATTAACACGCGGTTTGGCATAGTTGATCAGAGCTTTTTTGTGATTTTTCTTAAGCAGTGGATTTTTTCTAAGCATTAATTCCCCTCTCCAAATTCTCCACCGACTTAACCAGGTATTAATCTCACACTCTTTGAGTCCTGTCACTGGATCTAACTAAGGCAGCGGAGAATTGGAGAGGGGAATTAACAGAAGATATCTGATAACTGATATCCATTAGACATGGCACGTGGAACTAGAACAGTCTACCCCAGCGAGTGAAATAAAGGGTTCAGTTCGACATTCCAACCACCTGAAAAAGGCTGGAGCGTACAACGGCCGAAAAGTTGTGATAAATATGGCAACAAAGATGAGGATGATAGTCCGAGCAATGCAAAGAGTGTACATAATGCCTCATCTCAGAAATATAGAGAGATAATTAAAATTAATCCGTTTCTGTATATGTTGTCATTGTTTACTTTAAGTTACGTTTTGTGAGCAGATATGATCGATCGAGAAAAATCATCAAAAAGCGTGTACTTATAAACAGTAATTCGGACTTTGCTAAGCAGAAGCTGCTCTTTAGCTAAACGGTGTAGCCCGTCAGTTCAAAATGACGGCTTCAGCATAGGAATACAGGTTTGATTCATGTCGGAGAACGCATATTTTACTTAAATAAATTGTATCTATAAAAATACCGAATTAACAGAATATATATATATATATATATATATATATATATATATATATATATATGGAAAAGGTTAAATTATCCCAATTTTTATTTTTATCTATCTTGCTATCTCTCTCTCTCTCTCTCTCTATATATATATATATATATATATATATATATATATATATATAATAATAATAAAAAAAAGGCTTAAACACTAATATTCCATGGTAATAATTTATTCCATTGGAATCGTAAATACGATCCAATTCATCAGACCTACAAATTCAAAAAGAAAACAGAAAAAAACAACTCCGGAAATAAACATAGAATTTAGAGAGAGTGTAAGTATGAGAGTGTGGGACGAATGTTAGAGCTATAGAGAGGGGTAACAGACGAGAGAAGGTGGGAGATTCAAATTTAACAGAGCGAAGTTTTAGAGACGGTTTAAATGAGAGAAATATGAATGTTGTCGGATGTCTAATACATTAAAGATTGGATTGTATTTGCGATTCCAATGGAATAAATTATGGCCATGGAATATTAGTGTTTAAGCCTTTTTATTATATCCTTACTCTGTCCTGGACATTGAGTTCTACCCGGATTCTATCCTCTTGGAATTTTTTTATTCAAAAAATATATATGTATGTGTATGCACCTATGTATATATATTTATATATTTTGCATATATATGTGTATATTTACCACCAATATTAGCTATATATATATACATACATACATACACACACACACACACACATACACACACACACATATATATATATATATATATATGAACTCAAATATGAATATTTTAATATATGTGTAAATCATTTCAAATAGTTTCAAATGTTAAGTATGAACAATAACATATATTTGTGCGTATCGCTAAAGACTCACTAAAGACACACAGGGAGATTCTCTCAGTTTCAAACGGACTTGACAAAAAGATAGAAAAAAAATTGTTATTACCGCACCAAGAAAAGATAACTCTGCTGAAAATAGGTATTGCCCCAAAAAACAGGAACCAGAGAAAAAAAAAAAAAAAAAAAAAAAAAAAAAAAAATGGCTCAGACGAGAAGATATTCTTGACAAATGAGACGAAACAGGAAAAAAAAAAAAAACCCAAAAAACAAAAAAACATAAAAACAAAGATCTTAAATGTGTACGACTAATTTCCCACCGGATTTATTTAACATAAACAGCGAGACGAAACGAAGAGAACGAGAAGACCCAGGATTTATTATTGCCAGTCATAATTTTAACAACAAACATAAGAAACCCAGAAAACAGTATGCAAGGTCGTTAGCCAAAGAGACCTTTCAAAATGTGAGTTACATGTTGGGGATGTCAAAATCAAGCGGCTGCAGATATTTAACTATCTGGGTCGTGTCATGAAAGGGGATGGAAAATATACCATAGAAATCCAAAGTTGCATGAGATTAGCAAAAAATGTCTTCCACAATCTAAACAAAGTATTATAAACGTAGGAAAATGCCCTTAAAAACGAAAAGGCTGCTGAGGAGGGGACGAAAATCAGGGAATTTAAGGAAAATATAAGTTGCAAGGAAACTGTCCGATCGAGAAGTGAAGGCTGGACAATCTTCTCACAGATGATGAAGAGATTTGAAGCAACAAAAATGGGGTTTAATAAAATTAATTACGAAGAGAGGAAAAATCGTTAGCAGCAAAGCAAAGAGCGCAGAACTGCTGTGTCATATTGAATGTCTATGTTAGACAATCTCCACACAGATGAAGAAAGGACTGTCAGATAGATAGATAGATAGATAGATAGATAGATAGATAACGAACAAAATGACATAGATAGATAGATAGATAGATAGAGAGAATATTCATAGTCAAAGATAGAGAGAATATTAATACAGTCATAGATAGATAGATAGATAGATAGATAGATAGATAGATATGAATGGAATGGCATAATGAATAGAAGTGGGTAGATAGATAGATAGATAGATAGATAGATAGATAGAATATTCATAGTCACAGATAATATTAATACAGTCATAGATAGATAGATAGATAGATAGATATGAATGGAATTCCATTTTAAAGATTTCATTCTGATTTAAATTTTTCATTCCGGTTTAAAGATTTGATTCCGGTTTAAAAAATTCATTCCGGTTTAAAGATTTACAAGCTGTGACTGCTGTTGTTGTTTTTGGCGGAATATCGGACTGAAGTAGGCAGTATTTTCTCGAATACAGCGAAATATTCGTTGATTTTCCAGAAACCTTCAGAGAAGCGAATTCTTTAACTAAATACACACGCACTTCAGATTGTGAATCAATTATTATAAAAGGACAGTGGTTAGTATAAAATGCGCATTTGTTGTTGATTCCTTTGTTAGGATGATTGGTTAGTATTTTAGCGGCATGTCAACCTCTATGGGCTATTTAATGCCGAAATTTAAATATTTTCAACAATTGTATGCCTTCAACTACAGAATCTATTTTTGGTCACCCTCCCCCTATAAAATGCAATGCCAGGAATTCTGCTCTAAATAGGCATTGTTGGTTATCCTACTACAGATATGTATTATGGCACTTTCACTATAAATATGCACTCCTACGTCGACAGAGATTCGCTTAGGGGTCACCACTTTACCATGGCTGGAACCCTAACAGGTGCTACCACTCCAGTGAACCTGGGAATAACAGCAGAAGATGTCATTACACGCTCCTCTAAAACCTCCAGTCTCACAATCAGAGTGCTTGCTGCCGGATTCTTTTGTCAAGGGGAGGAGATCCATTCTGTATTGACAAAAGGGTATTAACATAAATATATGTGTCCTATCATATTTTGATTTCGCCTTCGGATGAATAAGACTAGACCAAAGATGCAGCATTGCTATTACGATCGAGTTGGAGCTATACAATCCTCACATTTTATAGCCTTGATAGAATCAAACATCACCTACGCCTTCTTGAAGGAAATGAAAGAAAGTATTAAAAAAGAATGAACTCAACAAATGGACGAAAATAGAAATAAATAAAGAAAGAAAGAAAGAAAGAAAGAAGAAAAAGAGAAATAAAGAAATAAAAAGAACGAACAAACGAAGAGTGACAGAAAGAATAAAGATAGACATAAAGAAAGGAAGGAAGAAAAAAGAAAGAGAGAAAGAAGAAACGAACAGGCAAACGAAAAAATGAAGAAAGAATGAACCGATGAATAACGAATGAAGAAAGAAAGAAAAAATGAAAGAGAGAAAGGACGAAAGAAAGAAAAATGAATAAACGAATGAAAGAAAAAACAGAAACGAAAGAAGACAGTATGAAATAAATAAAGAAAGAAAAACAACAAGCGAATGAAGAAAAAGACAGAAAGAAAGAAAGGAAGAAAGAAAAAGAGAGTAAACAAACGAACAACAAAAAAAAAAGAAGGGAAGAAATAAATAAAAAGAGGAAACGAACGAAGAAAAAACAGAAAGCAAGAAAGAAAGAAAAAAGAAAGAGAAAACAATAAACGAACGAAGAAAAAGACAGAAAGAAAGAAAAAAAAAGAAGAAGAAAAAGAACACAGACAGAAAGAAAGAATAAATGAAGGAAAAAGCACAAAGAAATAAAAATTGAACAAACGAATGGAGAAAAAAACCGAAATAATGAAAGAAGAAAGAAAGAAAACAAGAAAAAATGAACGAAGAAAAGGACAGAAATGAAGAAGAAAAAAACAAACGAATGAAGAAAAGACGAAAAGAAAGAAACATGAAAGAAAAAGAAGAAATGAACGAAGAAAAAGAAAGAATGAAGAAAGAGAATAAACAAAGAAAAAAGACAGGCAGAAAGAAAGATACAAAAAAAGTCGGAAAGAAAAAAAGAAAAAGACCAAACGAATCATGAAAGAAAAAAGAAAGAAAGAAAGAAAGAAAGAAAGAAAGAAAGAAAGCGTGACAGTTCGTAAGACAGTTTGAATTCTAGGCGAACATAGAGACCATTCTAGGAACAATAATTCCAAAGATTTCCCCAAACAGTACCGTTCTTTTGTTGCATTTTCAGACAACATCATTTTTAAATGTCGAAACAAACGGAAACTCATTTGGAATCCTGCCCAACTCACTTGAAGCAAAGGACATCAAAACATATTAACAATTCCTTGATAGTCGCGTGTGTTGTTCTGTGATAATAATGCAAGGAACGCATCAAATTAAAATCACTTCCACTAAAAGAACATGTGGAATGATAGTGTGACGTCATCCCCTGGTCGCAGCGCCAACTGTGACGTCCTATCCTGGTCTACCACGGCACCAACTCTGACGTCCTCGCCGCGGCGCCAGCTTGTTCGCTCCTCGCTGCTCCGTTCGAGTGTCGCCGCTCCAAACGTGACGTCCGCCTGTTGCGTCAGTCGTGTTGTCTCGTCCTGTGACGACCAACTGGCTTGGTATCGGTCGCGGCACCCAAATGTGACGTTCTAACCTTTTGGTGATTCGGGTGGGAATCTGGTTAGATTTGATATCAGCCTCGTCGTTCCCAACTCGCTTCCAAAGTAACTGCATTGATCTCCAGTCTGCCTACCCACGTTGTGAAATGATCTTAGGCAGACGAGATCAATCAGTAGTTGGGGCCGTAATGCAAATCGGGTTCAACGGGGGTGACACCACACAAATATGCATAAAAGAAAATAGAATGAAAACTCAAAAGTTCAAGATATCAAAGAAAAAGATAACAAACTTTATGTCTAGTTGTTCGATACATATGACTGCGTCTATCTCCCGACCCGTTCTATGGATTGTGACACGTTGTTTTCCGTTAGGCGAGTTTTAACGCTTCAAGTTGTTTGCTCTTTAAGAAATTGGTTTTTCGGTGTGTCTTCGGACGAAAGTCGAAAAAAACTTATTTTGGTGGTCTGGATCTAAGTCGCTCTTCAAAATAATTGTTCTTGGATTGAAGAGGAGTCCGGAATGTGCGTGAATCTTTCAAGTCAGCTATCTGCGAGGCGGAACCAACTTAACTTGACTGAAACTGCAACTCCACTCAACTGAACTGAACTGAATTGAACTGATTTCTGCTTGCTGCGGCTTCGCTTATATGGACGCCGACCAAAACCGGGGTGGTTTTGTCGGCGTCGGGGGTTCCTCGATAATTCTAAATACATATCCACCTCTTTTATTTCTGGTTAGGAATTTTCCACTCTTTTCCATTTTTGGGAGCCTTTTCTTACTCCCACCTTCTCACCATACTTCAGAGGGGCGTGAGCTGCACTCCCCACTTCTTCGTAGCAGCTTCTCATACTTCTCCTCTGGATGGGCGGCGAAACCCTCCTTCGAGCGTCACGTGATCACCACTCGACCAATGGTGTCTTAGTCGGGCGTGGACGAATCCGCGGCTTTGTTTCAGGAAAAAAAATATCTTGCTTAACTAAAAAAAAAAAATGATCTTTTCTTTTCCTTTTCTTCCACTTAATCGCAGTTATCATTCTCTCTAGCCGCAAACAGGATAATATGAACGACGGTGGTCATAACTCTTGTTCTACACCTGGGCTTCGTCAGTCATCTTATCGCTAATTATCAGAATGGGTGGTCTTTTTAACACGGCCAGACATCGCCCGAAAAGAACATTTCTAAGTTCCCATTCATTTCCTTTCGGTACATATTTCTGATAACATAATTTTATTATCGCAGGCCAAAGATGTTCCGTCGAAAGAAATCGGTCAGTGGACACATCCTGTGCGGCTTTTGACACAAATTTTTCATATCTATCCAAATCCCTTTAGTCCACCTGTTGTCCGTCACTTATCGAAATAACATTTTCATTTGGATTTTTCTTTGGCCATCAGTTTGTTTACGCATCCCAGATAACACAGCCGTCGCCAAAACACACCCGATTCCTTTATCCACTCAGATTTTCCCTGTCATTGTAATGACACTCTTTCGCCATTTGTTACTTATCAAAATATCCTTTAACCATTGTCTCTTAGCCGTGGTGTTCTGCTTATCATCCACGTTTTGGGTCTCGCCTCTCTTTTGCCTTCTTTCCTTTCTTTTCTTTTTCTGCCTCGGTAAATGGTGCCACAATAGTATTGATACTATAACCAGGAATTTCATTTTTACATTTTTTCATATTACTATAAATTAAGCATTCGAAATCATGAATATAAAAAAGAAAAAGAAAATTTTGAAAACGGTAATCGGGAAAGTCCTGATTATTATGTAAATGATGTTAAGTATAAGACACCTTTTTGTTGCCATTTTCTCTAAACGTATTCAGTTCATTGTATTCTCATCATCCTTCGGTAGAACTATATTTCTATTGCTTCATGTCTCTTCTTCATCTGTGAGGAGATTGCCGATCATTCTTTCATGTAAAAGTACGGCACCATTGTATCTTGATTTTAAGGAAATGCCAAGATATCAGTGCTCGGAAGGGGCTTAATGGTACGTGTCAGATAAATAGGATATTTCATTTCGAGTCAAAAATGAATATTAATTGCCAAGGCTTTATTTAAGAAATTCAGACAACTTAAGAATATTACTACTTGGTGGGAACAAGAGAAATAAAATGAAAGAAATACTAGTCAAAAATGAATAATAATTGCCAAGGCTTCATCTAAAAAATTCCGACAAATTAAGACTATTACTACTTGATGGAAAAGCAAGAGAAATAAAATGAAAGAAATACTAGTCAAAAATGAATGATAATTGCCAAGGCTTCATCTAAGAAATTCAGACAACTTAAGACTATTACTACTTGGTGGAAAAACAAGAGAAATAAGATGAAAGAAATACTAGTCAAAAATGTATAATAATTGAAAATGCTTCATCTAAGAAATTCAGACAACTTAAGACTATTACTACTTGGTGGAAAAGCAAGAGAAATAAGATGAAAGAAATACTAGTCAAAAATGAATAATAATTGATAAAGTTTCATCTAAGAAATTCAAACAACTTCAGATTATTACTATTTGGTGCAAAAGCTATAAGATGAAAGAAATACTAGTGAAAAATTAATAAGTACTACTAAATAAGAAACATAATTTGATTATATTTCGGTATAAAATAAAATATCTTATATTTATATCCATTTTGATTGAATTGCGATAGAAACGAGCCCATCTAATCAAAAATAGACGCATGAAATAATTGCCTACAAAATTATCCTTATTTATTCAGTTTTGCTTTAAAGAATTATTCTGTCAATTCTTACTTCCAAAACGACATATCTAATGTCTTGTCGCTGACGCCAAGGTCATATTATGTACGATGTGGAGGCGGGGTTTAAAAGAGGAACGGAACGAGATTCGGTGAAAGCGTAAATTGGATCATTAAAGCTGAATGCGAGACAGCGATGGCGGAGGACGAGGATAAAAAAATGGAAACCGGAAGAACGAAATTAGGCTTTTGATGAATGCTAAGAAATTTGAATCTCGAAGACTTGTAGAAAAAAAAAAAAACCCAAAAAACAACGTATGATATACTGGCGCCCGTAATGTCTGAGAGAGAGCAATATTTTCGCGTATTTATCGATTTTTGATTCATAATATAATATATCTCATCACCCAGAGAGATAATTACTAAGTATAGTTTAGTCAGGCACAAGGTCATAGGTTTGTGTCGCGAATGGTATTTAAGGTTAAGAAAACGGCTAAGTTAAAGATTTATCAACACATTTGTCGGTTCAATATCGAATATAAAATTCCTAATTACTAAGTATAGTTTAGTCTGGCACAAGGTCATAGGTTTGTGGCTTGAGTGTCTTTAAGGTTAAGCTGGGTTAAGTTAAAGATTTATCAACACATTTGTCGGTTCAATGTCAAATATAAAATTCCTATAGGATCAAGATCACAATGAAATTCTAGATAAGTAGACATAGGTAAGATTTACCCCCGGATTCAAAATAGGTGGTCACAAGTGACTATTACTACTTGGTGGAAAAGCAAGAGAAATAAAATGAAAGAAATACTAGTCAAAAATGAATAATAATTGACAAGGCTTCAGCTAAGAAATTCAGACAACTTAAGACTATTACTACTTGGTGGAAAAGCAAGAGAAATAAGATGAAAGAAATACTAGTCAAAAATGAATAATAATTGACAAGGCGTCATCTAAGAAATTCAGACAACTTAAGACTATTACTACTGGGTGGAAATGCAAGAGAAATAAGATGAAAGAAATACTAGTCAAAAATGAATAATAATTGCCAAGGCTTCATCTAAGAAATTCAGACAACTTAAGATTATTACTACTTGGTGGAAAAGCAAGAGAAATAAGATGAAAGAAATACTAGTCAAAAATGAATAATAATTGCCAAGGCTTCATCTAAGAAATTCAAACAACTTCAGATTATTACTACTTGGTGAAAAAAATAAGATGAAAGAAATACTAGTGAAAAATTAATAAGTACTACTAAATAAGAAACTAGAGATAAAAAACTGAAGACATAGGTAAAGTTTACAGGAGAGTCAAAACGGTAGGCATAAAACCGGTTTAGACTAAAGTCAAAAAGTTAAACCTAAGTCCGGTTTACACTATAGTCAAAAGAGTAGACATAGGTTCGATTTACATTTAAACAGTCAAAAAGGCAGACCCAGGCTCGGTTTAAACGAGAGTTAAACCTGAAGACCTAAACCCGATTTAGACTTAGTCAAAATGGTGCACATAATTCCGGTTTTCCCTACAATGAAAAATGTCGATATAAGATCAGTGTACACTATAGTCAAAAGGGCAGACATACGTACTTCTTACAATATGTTTGGTTTGTTTTGTTTTACGGCCTATCAACCTCAATAGGTTATTTAATGCCGACAAAAATTTCATTGTTTTTCCAAAAATATACTTCTGGTAATATTTTTTCTTTCAAAACTCTATTTTTGGTAATAATTTTCCTTTGCTTGTAATATATTTTTCAAAATAATTATAGTTGGTATTTTTTTTATCCAAAAATGTATTGTTGGTAATATTTGTTTTTTTTCAAAAATGTATTGCTGGTAATAATTTTTTACAATATATTTCTGGTATTAAAACCTATTTTGACACTTCCATAGTGTTTTGACCCCATTTTGGGGGTTAA